AATTCTATAGTATTAGTTTTCACTGAATTACAACTGGGCAGTAGTTTATTAAAATGTCTACATAATTTTCTATTAGTAATTGTGCTAGAATTTCTTAGTCATCCCTCATTGTCATTATATTTTAGATAATAATACTGTGATGAACATCTTTTTGCATAGCTTTTTTCTTTATTTTGAAAATTCCTTAAAATAGACTCTGTCGGTATAGACTATGAGTTTTTAGTGTTAGACTATTTTAAGTATGTTTTGAAACTACTGGATTCTATATGTCTAGTTTGGGACATTTATGTGTGAATATAGAATATTTGTATTCTAATAACACCCAAACCTATCTATGGCTCCTCAGTTACACTCTTTCAGGCAACTTCTTTTGATAAGGATTAACTAAATCATAGGAACTGGGAAAAAGGTGGACAGTTGCTACAATAGAAGAGAGAGGATGTATTAAAAGTTGGAAAACAGGTTTGGTGAGGGTGGACAAGAATTCATAGCTAGACAAGGGGTGTATGTGATAAAATACTTTTTGGTCCTGGGGTTGTATTTATGAACCTTAACTTTAAACCTCCACCTTCCTGCCCCTAACCAAATACCATATTTGCCTCCTTGAAATGTCAGGTTCTGTCCTTCTGTATTGGATTCCCTGATAATGCAAACCACAGATATGAACTTCCTCTCATACTCTAATTTGGAGAATGCACATAGGTGAGGACAAGAATGGGGACCTTTGCATAAGCACAGGCCTTGAGCGCAAGGTACAGCAATGTTTGTGAGGGACACTTGATGGGCTGAAGACTCGTGTCTCCTCCCTTGAGCACATTGCCAGATGATCTTTGAGAATAGCAGCCATTCGGAGAAGCATAACATTCCCAACCTCACCTCCCCGCATTCAGATGCTCTCTCCCTCTTTGTTCCCAGTCTCCAGTTACCAGAGAAAATTCCCCTCATGGAAGAGGGATACTGTGCTCACTTTCTCCTGTTTGTTTTAGGAACATATAGCACTTGCTCCTTGTATTGAGAAGGACAGGGTCTCAGTGTTGGACAGTTGCTTTGACTGGGCCTCTTCCTTACTCCCTTAAGTACTCACCTGAGCTTGCTCTGGGAGACTGGGAATCCACTGAGGCAAGAAGGCCATTCAGTGTCTGAGTACCAGTGGAAGGGGAGTCAAGGGATAGGAATGTAACTTTGAGGGCACAACTGAAGCACGCAGGCAGATTCTAAGCCATCAGTCTTGAGGAGACCTGAAGGAAAACAATGAAAAAATCCTCATATTACAAAACAAAAAGAGTCTCCGCCCTTTTCAGGCCCTTTGGGAGATGATTTCTGACTGAGGTAGACATTCAGAAAGGTAGAGTATTTGAGGCAGGCTATGTTCTCTGCTTAGTTGGGGCCTCTTTTTAAAAAGTTTGCTTAAGTTCTTAGAAGGTGGTACATCTATTTCCATTTCTCTCACTGTCAAAGTTAAATCAGGCTTAGCAAACATTTTCCCTAGAGTTAAAAGTAGAAAAGTTAAATTTAAATAGGCTAGCTTGTTTATTCTCTACTATCCTTAATTTTCCACTTGACATTTATCTTTTAACACTCTTGTTCTACGTACACATAGAAGTTGACCAATATCAGGCATTGGGATTGTTTAGGCTCTGGGAAGGTGAGTGATAAATAAATTTTCTTCTTTTTTTTTTCTTTCACTTTTTTCTTGCAAGTACCTATTGGTCTGTGTTCTTTTGAAGGCTTAGAGTCAAGTGGTCAAGTGGTCACTGGACCGTCTCTGGGGCTGGCCCTAGTTCTCTGAGAGTGCTTTCTTTTTGAAATTGATGATACTGTTGGTCCACTGGGTGTGCTGAACCATACATATTGTTTGTTTTGTCTAAATTGTACCGAGCTTTCAAACTTGTGTTATTTTTGTCCCTCTGCCTAGTCATGTGGAATGGAACATTATATTTAACAGAGGATTGCTTTTGAACAT